AGATAGATATGGATGGATGGATGGATGGATGGATGGTTGGATAGATAGATAGATAGATATAGATATGGATGGATGGATGGATGGATGGATAGATAGATAGATAGACAGATAGATAGATAGATAGATATATAGATAGATAGAGATAGATGAATGGATGGATGGATGGATGGATGGATAGATAGATAGTCATTTTCCATCTATATTTACATATAAATAAAGCCTTGTCTGCTTAGCTGCCCAGTGTCACTGCAGTCTATGACACTTTGTTTTTATCTTCAAAAATCGCTTCTTAAAATATTTTTAGAAATATCTTGCATTCCAATCACTGCTAGTCTGCTCTAGTGTAATACAGACAAGGCTTTTCAGTACCACTGGACCCTAAATATCCCAAAGTGCTACAAGGCCTGGAGTTAACCAAAGGTTAATGCGTCCTATTGAGCTGATATAGGAAAAAGTGTGAGGTGCAATCTGATTATTTTATACAGTGTTTGCGGATGTGTGAGATAGATTCAGTCACAAGGAAAAAAACATCCCCCTCTGACCTCTCATCCCACCCGCCGGTCTTTTCACGCCTGGCGCTGCCGCCGCCTCCGCTTCTGCCAAATTAAACGTCTGCTTTAAATGATTTCACAAGGAGCGGCTCGGCAGCAGCGAACGCCATCGAAGAATAATGCAAGGTGGAGCGTTGGCAAATTAACTTAAATGATTTTAGCAAATGGCTGCAATATAACAAAAAGTGAAAAATTGAAGGGGGTCTGAATACTTTCCGTACCCACTGTATGTATGCAATGAATATAATGTTAAACATTCAGTATTAACACCTGATTTTGCTTTGACTGTATCTATTTGATAAATGAATTTAACCAACTAACATTATACATACCCTTTTGGATTCTGTACCCAATATTTTAAAATTTGCAAATGCAATAAAATATCGGTATCGGTACTCGGTATCGGCAAGTACCAAAAATAAAAGTATCGTATCGGGCGAGTACTGGAAAAAGTGGTATCGGTGCATCCCTAATATAAATCTAACATTTTTCTTTAATATATGCATGTATGTGTGTGTGTATTTATATATACAGTACACAGACATATAGCATGTAAACAAACTTTTATTCTGAATGCAATTAATCACGATTAATCGTTTTGCAGCCCTACATTGAAAGACAGATTCAAGGGATAGAAAGAAAGAAAGAAATATAAAAAACTAAATGGTCAGAAAGATAGAAAAAAAAAAGAAAGACGGAAAGGAGAAAAACAGAAAAAAAGAAAGATAAAGTGAACAAGACATAAGATAAACCAAAAGAGAAAGAAAAAGAAATAAAGACAGAAAAAGTGACAAAAAGAAAGCTAGAAAAAGGATGGAAAAGATGCAGAAAGATTGAAAAACAGAAATAATGAAACAAAGGAAAAAAGAGACAGAAAGAATTTCTTGTAATTATTATTACTGTCAATCGCAAGCATTTTTCAACCACTTGGTTGATTAACTGACTCACTTAATAAATGATTCTTTCATTTGTTCATTCACGCTATCTGCGGTGGTTGAGTTAATTGATTCACTGATTGATTCTTTGATAATTTCATTCACACTGTCTGTGGTGGTTTTCTTTTGTCTGTAATTGATTCACCGATTGATTGTTTGATTGATTCTTTAATTTGTTCACTCACGCTATCTGCGGTGGTTGAGTTAATTGATTCACCGATTGATTGTTTGATTGATTCTTTAATTTGTTCACTCACGCTATCTGCGGTGGTTGAGTTAATTGATTCACCGATTGATTGTTTGATTGATTCTTTAATTTGTTCACTCACACTCTCAAGCATTGGTTTTCTTCTGTCTGTAACTGACTCACTGATTCAATCGCTGATTCATAGGTTCACTCACGCTCTCTGCGGTGCTTTTCATCTGTATGTAATTAATTCACTGATTGGTTCATTCATTATTTTGTTTACTCACGCTCTTGGCGGTGGTTTTCTTCTGTCTGTAACTGATTCACTGATTCATTAATTCACTGATTGATTCATTTGTTCACTCACGCTGTGTGCAGTGGTTTTCTTCTGTCTGTAACTGACTCACTGATTCAATCGCTGATTCATAGGTTCACTCACGCTCTCTGCGGTGCTTTTCATCTGTATATAATTAATTCACTGATTGGTTCATTCATTATTTTGTTTACTCATGCTCTTGGTGGTGGTTTTCTTGTCTGTAACTGATTCACTGATTCATTAATTCACTGACTGATTCATTTGTTCACTCACGCTGTCTGCAGTGGTTTTCTTCTGTCTGTAACTGACTCACTGATTCATGGGTTCACTCACGCTCTCGGCCGAGGTTTTCTTTGTCTGTAATTGATTCACTGGCGGATTGATTGATTGATTGTTCACTCATGCTCTTGGCGGAGGTTTTCTTCTGTAACTGATTGATTGATTGATTGGTTCACTCACGCTCTCTGAGGTGGTTTTCTTCTGTCTGTATCTGCGCAGCTCCTCCTCCAGCTTCAGTAACTGGTTTCGCAGGTTGTTCTTCTCTTCCGTCAGTCGGCTAACGAATCCCGTGAGCTCTGCGTTCTGTCTGAGTAAACGCTCATTCAGCAGACTGGACGATCCTCCTGCCAGCAGCGCGGCGCTCTACACACACACACACCATACACACACACACACACACACTTATATAATCAAACATGTGTTTACAAAGGTCAATTCTATGAATAAGCCACATTGTGTTACACACGTGTCAATGTGCTCACTCACCTCCGGGAGAGCAGAAGGGGCTGATGGGATATGCTGTAACAGTGACATCACATCCTGTACATTACTGTGCAGCCATGCTAGACTGTCCCGGTCCGGCGCTTGTCCAGATAACCTGCACACACACACACACACACACACAGGTCATGGGCTACAACACCTGCACAAGTAACTTTTTTCTTCAGTAGAACAGCAAAGAAGAATCCGGGCTCCTTAATGAAAATAAAAAAATGCAAGTCAATGGCTACCGTCACTTTGAGAGTCAAGAAAAGCATCTATAGGCGACACAAAATTAAACCCTGTGGCTCCTGATGATATATTGAGGTCTTATGAAGCGAAACAATCAGTCTGTGCAAGAAACTTATTTACAGCATTATAACCTGTAATCCGGTTTATGAACGAATCATTCTTTTGAACTGGTTCTTTTACTTGAACTAGTTGAACCAGTTCATCAAATCGAACTGAAGCATCCGAATCAGTTCGTGTCTCGAGCAGCTCAGATCTACAAGTTACTCAAATCACACTCACTTTCAGACGCCTGACAGTCACTTAGACTGGAAATGAGCTGAAACAGCAGCGTATCTGATAATGAATGAACTGATTCAGTGCTCCAGTCCCTCCAACAGTCACTAAACTGAGGAAACAGTTTGACTCGGACCGAAGAGCCGCTGACAGTGTTGGGGAACGCATTACAAGATACGTAATCAGATTACTTCAAGTAACTAGTAAAGTAACGCATTACTTTTTAATTTAGAAGGAAATATCGGAGTTACTTTTTCAAGTGAGAAACAGCAGTTACTTTGTTTCCATGTATTGAGTGACAGCTCTGGTGTTGCCATGGTGACAGAAATCAGGAGTAAGTGCAGAGCGTTGTGTGTGAACATGATCTTACTGTAGTTCTAGACTAAATATCAACATGTGTTTACTCAAAAACAGATTCAGTGTTCCTCAAAATCAATAAAAACAGTCAAATACAAACTCAGCATATTATACAAACCCGCAATAATTAAATATCACGATAATTTTTTTTCCATATCAGTCGATATCGATAATTATCACGATAATTCTTTTTTCATATCAGTCGATATCGATAATTATAACGGTAATTTTTTTTCATATCAGTCGATAACGATAATTATAACGGTAATTTTTTTTCATATCAGTCGATATCGATAATTATAACGGTAATTTTTTTTCATATCAGTCGATAACGATAATTATCATGATAATTTTTTTATATCAGTCGATAACGATAATTATCACGATAATTTTTTGTCATATCAGTCGATATCGATAATTAGCACGATAATTTTTTTTTCATATCAGCCGATATCGATAATTATCACGATAATTTTTTGTCATATCAGTCGATATCGATAATTTTTTTTTCATATCAGCCGATATCGATAATTATCACGATAATTTTTTGTCATATCAGTCGATATCGATAATTAGCACGATAATTTTTTTTTCATATCAGTCGATATCGATAATTATAACGGTAATTTTTTTTCATATCAGTCGATAACGATAATTATCATGATAATTTTTTTATATCAGTCAATATCGATAATTATCACGATAATTTTTTTTTCCATATCAGTCGATATCGATAATTATCACAAATTTTTTTTTTATATCAGTCGATATCGATAATTATAACTGTATTTTTTTTTATATCAGTCGATATCGATAATTATCACAAATTTTTTTTTTATATCAGTCGATATCGATAATTATAACTGTATTTTTTTTTATATATCAGTCGATATCGATAATTATCACGATAATTTTTTTTTATCAGTCGATATTGATAATTATCACGATAATTTTTTTTCATATCAGTCGATATCGATAATTATCAAAAAAAAAATTTTATATCAGTCGATATCGATAATTATCACAATGTTTTTTTATATCAGTCGATATCGATAATTATCACAATGTTTTTTTATATCAGTCGATATCGATAATTATCACAATGTTTTTTTATATCAGTCAATATCGATAATTATCAAAAAAATGTATATCAGTCGATATCGATAATTATCGCGATAATTGTTTTTCATATCGGTCGATATCGATAATTATCGCGTAGGGATGTAACGATTCACTCAACTCACGATTCGATTCGAGATTTTGATTTCACGATTCGATTCGATTCACGATTTTTTATTATTTATTTTTTTTACAAAATGAGATTCAAGACAAATTATAAATTAAATGTGTCCTTTTATTATTGCTTGGACAAAATGCTGCACATTTCTTTGTGAAATTGAAATATAACACTATACAACTGAAATGGTCGCACTGTCGAGCCCTGCATCTAAACTTTTCTAAAGACAGCAAGTTCCCCTCAGACATGGATTCATAAACTACCCCTAAATGAATCGCGATTTGTTTAGCATCTCAACCGATTTGAATCGTCACATATTTGAATCGATTTTCAACCGGCTCGCGGTTAATCGTTACATCCCTAATATCGCGGTAATTGTTTTTCATGTCAGTCGATATCGATAATTTTCACGAATATTTTTTTTTTATTTCAGTCGATATCGATAATTATCACAATAAATGTCAAATCTTTATTTCTTTCAAGTTTAAAGGCAGATTTTTGCTCCAATGTGAAAGTTTAATTGTCGTTTTATTGTTAATCGACGGTTAATTGTGGTAATTGTGTAACTATTCTTTATGATCAGAACACGACAAACACTTCACGTTTTTGAATTCTTAACACTTTTCCAGTCATTTTTCCTTAACAAAATAAATATCTTAATAGAAAAAAATTATGTCTTAGTTCAGCACGTTCTAATGAGTAATATTGTTTCAAATCAAGAAACAGGTTTGTGTTGCATGATAATATTAATAATACAAAAAAAATTTGTCTCTTAGAAATACACATTTGATAGTAGCTTGAGTTAGGATGCAGATGTAGATTTACATCTGTAAAAATCTGTAAAACTTGTAGCAATCTCATTTTTATATGGTGAAATTTAATTATTCTGACTGTTTGAGGTTTTTATTTTTATTTTTAACCATTGGTTTTCCATAGTAGCATACATTTAGATCATGATAATCACATAATTTGTGATAGATACTTCAATCACAAAATGTAACATGGCTTAATATATTTAGTATAAAATATAGCGTAATCACAAAAAATACTGTAATTATATTCCAACACATTTAATAGCCTACGTCTATAGCATTCGACACGAATACCCACATTTTTGACACAATACCACTAGCGTGGTCTCGTTCCGCCTTTGCCTCATAAACATTATATCGAGCATTCATCGAACTCTTGTTATTATGATTGCGTTATCGATTTATCGCCCAGTCATAGTGGAGCATCTCTTTAACAGTGTTGTCGCACCTGTCTGGGCTTTCGCTGGTCAGGCTGTTGATCTTGGCGGCGATGAGTTGCAGTCTGCTGAGGATGCTGTCCATGTGTTTGGGCTCTGACCTCTGACCCTCACGCAGCGCGTCTCCCGTCCGCAACACCCAGTCCCGGGTTCGATCCTCTGATCCGGCGCTCTGGTTGCTGTCCTCCAGCTGTCTCACGGTCTCCTGCAGTCTGTCTCTCTCTCTCTCCAGCCTCCTGACGCTGTCTCTCTCTCTCTCCAGCTCCGTCTGCAGCTCGCTCGCCCGTCTCTCCAGGCCGGCGCGTGTCGCCCGCAGTGCATTCTCCTCGTCCCGCTGTCGTTTGCGCTCCAGCTTGTGTCTCTCCAGCTCCTCCGTCATCTGCAGCACCTGCGTCTGCTTCTCGGCCAGCTGCGTCTGCAGGAGAGACTCCACAGAAACCACGTCGGCTTCCACCTGCACACAGCAACACCTGTCACTCAACTCTGAGAGCCTTTGTGAAGGAGGGATTATACACATTTGTGCACTTTATTACTTAGTATTAATATATACGTTTTTTAATAAGCCATGTGCGAGTTCACATTCTATTGATTTGTGCTGAAATGCAAAAGTAAATTTCTCAAATGACAACAATCATTACGATTATAATTTTGAGCAAAAATATTTTTTATCAGTTTAACCATTATACAGCATGACGAAAATGTGACTAAAATTTGATTGACTAAACCCTGACTAAAATGCTCATGCATTTCATTGACTTAAACTTGACGAAACAAAAACAGGACAAGGTTGACTAAATGTGACTCTGGAGCACAAAACCAGTCATAAGGGTAAATTTTTCGAAATTGAGATGTATACATCATCTGAAAGCTGAATAAATAAGCTATCTATTGATGTATGGTTTGTTAGGATAGGACAATATTTGGCTGAGATACAACTATTTGTAAATCTGGAATCTGAGGGTGCACAAAAATCAAAATATTGAGAAAATCATCTTTAAAGTTGTCCAAATGAAGTTCTTAGCAATGCATATTACTAATCAAAAATTAAGTTTTGATATATTTACGGTAGGAAATTTACAAAATATCTTCATGGAACATGATCTTTACTTAATATCCTAATGATTTTTGGCATAAAAGAAAAATCAATAATTGTGACCCATACAATGTATTGTTGGCTATTGCTACAAATATAACTGTGCTACTTATGACTGCTTTTGTGGTCCAGGGTCACATTTGGTAACACTTTATTTTGATAGTCTCCTTTAGACATTCTCTTGATTGTAAGTAACTTTGCCACTCCATGTCAACTAGCAGTCATTAGAGTATTACTAGACTGTCTTGAAGTAAACTTTAGTTTGATGGTTCCCTAACACACATTCAACTGACTATAAGTAACTTTGCAAGTACATGTCAACTTATTCTACTAACCCTAACCTAACAGTCTACTAATACTCTAACGTTAACATGAAGTTGTAAAGTTACTAAAGTGGACTATCAAAATAAAGTGTAACCCATCTTTATGCTGTCTGTTTTTTGTTAGTAGGCAAAATCTTTTCAGTCCTAGTCTTCAAATGTTCATTCAGCAACAATAATCCAGTTCATTAACTAATTGTTGCACCGTGTCATGCCATAAGAGCACGAACCCAACAAACCCAACTGTGTGCATGGGAAATCAAATGTTTTTAAGACAGGTGTGTTATATTTGTGGCTTTGATGGCTGACTTTGTAACAGTCCTGTCTAGCTTTGGTGTGTCCTGTACGACACAAAGCAGAAGTGAAAGTGGGAATGGGAAACAGACCCCTGGGATGTGGCTGTGCAATGGGCCACCGGTGCAATGTGTTTCCTGAGGGACCCAATCAAAGGGGCTGCTTCTACAATGTTTCAGACATTTCCCCCCTTCATATAAAGCTTTCTCTCGTTTCCCCTTTCTAAAGTTAAAAATAATGTTTGGGCCCCTTCTTCAAAAAAAGTGACAAGACCCTGTGTTGTTGCAAAAACTGTGATCCAAACTCTCGCAATATCCGCTATTTCACACTTCATGCTGGAAACAGCCTTAAATTCTGCACAAACCACATCCATACATTACACTTTTAGTGATGTCCACACTATTAGTATATGTTGTTGATGCATAATATCCATAAACGTCAAGACTCTAATAAAATATGTATGCGTGTAGGGAATGCATACTTCTTAGTCCCTGACATCTTCTAAAAGAGACCGTTCACCAAAATATGAAATTTCTGTCATCATCTTGTTATTCCAAAACCGTAGGACGTTCCTCCTTTTGTGGAGCAGAAAATGAGCTGTTAAGCAGTCTCAATCAGCATTAACCTCCATTCTAATGGAAAAAGATCAAATGAAAGTGCAGCCGCTCCTTTTGTGTTCCTCTGAGGAAAGAAACTCAAACAGGTTTGGAACAACATGGGGGTGAGTAAATGATGACCAAATTTTCATCAGGTGAACTATGCCTTTTATCATTATTTTTGTTATGTTTTCCAGAAAAAAAGCTATCCTTTTAAAGATAAATGTACTTGAGAAGCAAAATTGTGTAACATATGTCTACACACATACACACACACACACACACACACACATGTCTGGTTTGCTATCCTTGTGGGGACTCTCCATAGGCGTAATGGTTTTTCTACTGTACAGACCGTATATTCTATTGCCCTACACCAACCCTACCCCTAAACCTACCCCCCACAGGAAACTTTCTGCATTTTTAGATTTTCAAAAAACTTAATTCTGTATGATTTATAAGCTTTTGTACCCGTGGGGACCACAATTTAGGTCCCCACCATCACACGAGTCCCCATGAGTCTGTGTGTAGTCAGGTTTAAGTCCCCACCAGAATATATAAACCAGTACACACACACACACACA